GTGGAGCGACCCTCTGGAGGGAGCTTTCCATCCGCACCGGGTCTGGGCTGAGCGGGGCCATAAATCCAGGAATGCCTGGGAAAAGRGCAAATGAAAATGTGCGATTCTTGGCAGGGTCCCCTGCGAGTGCGGGGCYGGGGGAAGGTGACGCTCACGGCCCTAATGGGTGAGGGCTGCTCTCTGTTCCAGAGCTGGGGCAGCACATGGAGCACCGAAGGATTCCCAAAAGGTGCTCCTGTCCCTTCCAAAAGGACTTTTCCATGGGGGTGACTRTTCTGCAGCACTTCCCACCTGTGCCAGGGGGCAGATCCTGCCCTCTCCACCCCCCTGGTGAAGTGTCCAGTGCTGGGCTCCTCAGGACAAGAGGGATAYGAARCTCCTGGAGCAAGTCCAGGGGATGACTGTGAAGATGAGGGGGATTGGAGCATTCCCCCTGGTGAGGGCAGGATGAGGGAGATGGAGCTGCTCAGCCTGGAGAAGAGATCTCCARRAATCAGACCAAATAAAACCCAAAATCAGATCTCCAAAATGAGCAGATCTGAACAATTGCTCCAAAATGAGCAGATCCCACAACTTCATGAAGAGTCAGAAAGGAGATCAAAGGAAAGGATTGTCAGCTTTTAAGGGGGGAAAAACCCAGGAAAAGATGTTTTAAGTTTCCAGGAGAASCACAGAAAATAAAATCAGTGGTTCTGTACCGAGGCAGAGCTGCCTTGCACCCTCCCTCCTCCCATCACACAGCACGGTTGTGTTTGCACCCAAAATTCCATCAGTTTAATTAAACGCACATCTCCCCACGTGGGGACACTCCTGTTCATGCATAGCTCCGTGCTGTCCTGTTGACACTTGTCCCAAAAATCCTGGATTTAAACCCAAAGGACACCAGCCAGACACATCATTGCTCAAATCCAATGGGCTTCCCTAAAAAAAAATGAAGATAAGGCAGGAGGGAGCTCCAGCCAGGCAAGGACTACACATCTTGTCCCCAGCCGGATCCTGGAATAGCTGGCATTCTTCCCAAAAAAGGACTTTGTGGGTTTGCAGGCAGYCGACAGCTCACGGCAGGTTTGGGTCACAGCCAGACTCTCCAGGTYCACCCCAGCAGCATCCCGGGAACCTGCCAGCATCCCTGTGGAACCGCGGGATCGCCCTCAAAGGGACACTGGGAAAAGCAACTGGGACTCCCAGCTGAGGTCTGGGAGAAAGGAGGGTCCGGAGTGGCCGGTGCAGAACGTTCGGCCTCGCCAACCTCGCCCTGGGAAGGTGATGGAGCAAATCCTGCAGGAATGCATTCCCAGGGGACCGAGATGGTGATGGCTGGGAACGGTCAGTGCAGCTCCCGCAGGCACGGACCGTTCCTGGAGCCCTGTGGGATGAAAGGGAATTGGAGGGGTTTATTTACCTTGGCTTTAGCAGGGCCTCTGGCACAGCTTCCGTGGGATCCTCATGGCCAAAGCGGTGAGATAGGGACCGGATAAGGGAATGAGCAGGAGAACCGGCCAGGCCGTGGCCAGGGCACAAAGTCCGGCTGGCACCCGGAGCCGTGCCATCCCTCAGGATCGATAGTGTCCCTGTTTGCCACCTGGATGAGGGGACACGGAATTGGGAGGAGCAGACGGTGCTGGGGAGGACGCGATGGCTGCTCCGAGAGACTGGGACGGGCCAGAGCAGGGACAGGGACCTGGGGAGGACAATGCCACGTCCTGCCGCAGGCTGGGATCAGCCCCCGCCCCCGGAGCCGCCTGTGCTTTCCCCCCGGTTCGGCCGCGCGTTCCCGCGGGGCAGTTTGGGCAGTTTCCATGGAAGTGGCACAAAACCTCCCTTCAAACCCAAACTCCGGAGCGGAGCGCCGACCTGAGCGCCGCTGCCAGCGCCATCTCCTGGCTTCGTCCTGCGATCGTGGGCTGGGCAGGGAAGGAGCTGCCCGAGCATCCCGTGCCGTCCTGCCATGGGCGGGGGGCACCTCCTGCGATCCAAGGATGCTCCCAGGCCCGTCCAAGCCTGGCCTTGGACACTGCCAGGGATCCAGGGGCAGCCACAGCTTCTCTGGACACCCTGCGCCAGGTACACACCACCCTCACAGCCAGAAATTCCTTCCCAATATCCCATCTGAAACTCATCCCCACGGGGAACAGCAGAGGTTTGGGACGCGCTCGGTGCTCGGTGTGTTTCCATGGCAGCACATTCCCACCCAATCCCATCCATTCCCACTCCCCGCCTAACCCTGGCACTCGGCATCGCTGCTGGAGACCCCCCTGAAGGCATCYCCGGCCCCAAACCCACCCCAGGGGATCCCCCTGCCGCGGGAAAAGCCCCCACAGTTCACCCCCAGCACCCACGGGGTGRCCCGGGGCCCTTCCCGAAGGGAAAAATCACTGCTGGGATTTTTCCGGGGGGTCTCGGGTGTCTGCACCCCCTGAGGTGGGGGCTGCTCCGCAGAGGGGACCCCCAGCTCGGGCCATGTGGCAGCAGAGCCCGCTCTGTCACCGAGAGCCGCCGCGTCTGCTGCCAGCACAGCGCCCGGTGCCCGAGAGGGGAGCAGCATATGGGGCCGGGCCTGGCCAGGCTGCGGCTCTGGGGCCACTGGCCTGAAAGAGCAGCTCCATCAGCTCCAGCACGCAGACCTTCTGCTTCCCCCATTCCGGATGCAGCACAGGCTCAGAGACACACACTCCAGGCTTCTTCCTGCTTTAATTATTTAAAAATCCCAGCTCTGGTTGTTTATTTTCAGGGGCTGTTACCACGTTCAACTATTTTGAGCCTAAACAACAACAAAAAAAAAAAAAAATAAAAAGAATAAAAAAAACAAACCAAACCAAAAAAAAAAAAAAAATTAAAAAAAAAAAAATTTGAAGCCTTTCTTTCATTCCGCTGGTGAAGTTTAATTCACTCTAATTATTTCATATTACTTAGACTGTAATAGTTTCATAATTTCTAGTATATTAAGCACTTAATACGTTGTGTCATTTCAAGTCGCATATTAAATTCTGCAAAGCACATTTTAATGAGCGCTAAGTAGTGGGGAAATATTAATACAACCTAATGGCTCCTTCCCGTGCCCGTGTTGGGAGGCCCTGCTGGGGCAGGTGGGCACGGTGGGGGCCGGGTGGAATTTTGGGCTGGAGACCTCCAGAGCAGCTCATCTGTGGTTCCTCCGTGGGGTCACCCAGTGTCACTTCCACGAAGTGCCAGCAATGATCCAGCCAGGGAGGCACAGGGGAAAACGGAAGGGAAGAGGCTTAGCTGCCCCTCTGATAACACCAAAAAGGTCCAGCTCTGTTCCATTCCCTGCAGTGACCTCCTCTCAGACCCTTATTCACCTCCCCGGGTTACACACCCCCTCCGTGTCCCATCAGGACGATCCTTTCCCCTGCTCTCACCTGCACCAGCGATGCCACCACCACTGCTGCTCCCAGTCAGGGTCYTGTGTCAGGGACAGGATGTCTTGTGCTGTTTGGCTGTGTCCAAAGGGGAGAATCCCAGAACGGCTTGGGAGAGACCCTAAGGCTCATCTCACTCCTCTCTGAGGAGGAACTTTCCCCTACCCCAGGTTGCTCCAACCCAGCGTCGGACACTTCAGGGATGGGGCAACGAAGTCACGAGAACTTTCTCTGAGACTCAGGAAAACGAGAACCCAAAAACTTCACCTGGGCTTCCACCCCAAAGATTTTTAAGCTTCATCCCACCCAACCACGGCCACCTGCCCTGGCTGGGAAGGGTTTCCTGACCCTCAGCTGGTGGAGGGAGGGCGCTGCTCCCGAGGTCGGGAATTGCGGGGAAAAGGGAGGGAGCTGCATCTCCGGCTGCGCCCACGCGGTGGCGGCCCAGGCCGCGGAACGGGCTAATGAGCGCCAGGAACTAATTAACGGCAGATCCGCGCTGCGGAGCTCCCGGGGCTGGCTCGCACCGCAGCGACCCCGGCGACATGGGCAGCGCGCAGCCCCCGGRGCATCTCCCTTTCGATCCTCTGCCCTCGTCCGGGTGCCGGTCCCCGGGATGCGGCTGATCCCTGGGATGCTCCCTGTCCCCGCATCCCTTCCCCCGGTCCCGGTCCCGCACGGGGACGTCGGTGCATCCCTCCCTCAGCTCCTGGCGCCTCTCTCCGCCCGGGTCCCTCCCACCCCCGGAGCTCCCCAGGACCCCGGGGCAGCCTCCCCCCGGCCCGGTCCCGGTCCCGGTCCTGTTCCCGATCCCCGTCCCGTTCCCGATGCCGGCCCCGCTGCGGCGCGAGGTTAATTCTGCGCTAAACCCGGATATTTCGGGTAATAGGTGTGCGCGCACCTCCGCGCCCGCTCTCCGAGCTCATTAATGTAATACCTTCATGTGTGAAACGAGCATATAAATGGGCATTAATGAGCTCCCCGCTGCGGCGGGAAGGAGGGGCCGGAACGGGGAGCRGGCAGCACCCCCGGCTCGGCCCCGGGGGCTGCCGTGCGAGCCCCTCCCGCCGCCTGTCCGGCCGGGGACCCCCGACCCCTCGCCCGGGCCAGCCCCACGCACCAGGCGGCTTCTTAAAGTCCGTTTTTATTAAAGAACCGAAATCACGTACAGAGGGAGCTGTCCCCAGAGCGGGCGAGCGGTGTTCTGCCTCCGGAGTCGCGGGCCGCCCGTTAAAGTGCCGTTACATCCAGAATTTACAGGGAGGGGGGGAAGGAGGGGGCCCGGGGTGGGGGGTTAAATATACATCATAAATAAATAAAAATCCGACAAATACTGTACCAAGAGAATCACAGTACATTTATATCCATTGCACATAGCCACTTTTGTTTCCAGTCTGGACGAGGGTAGAAGAAGCGGACACACAGGGAGGGAGGGGAAGGCGGAGCGGGGGGGCCGGGAGGGCCCGGCTCCCCCCCGGCCGGCCCGGGGCCGCCCCCCGCCGTATTGCCAGTCCGAGGAAAGCCGGGCTCCGAGTCCTCTATGTACAGGTGTCTCCTCGTGGAAATGGCTTGTGTGGGCTCTGCCCGCATGGCTTCGGGGGTGGGGGGCCGAGGRGGGGCTCACTGGGGCAGCAGCGGCGGCTTGAAGGAGCAGTTCCCCGTGCAGTGCCGCGGGGTCAGCATTTTGCAGGAAAAGTGATGCAGCGCGTCGTGAGCCTCTGCAAGGGACCGAGCGGTCACCGCGGAGCCCTCGGGGCGGGGAGTGGGGGGTTGAGCCCCCCTTAGACCTCCGAGCCGCCCCCCGGTCCTACCCCGGTACCTTTCAACTTCTGCTGGATGGCGTAGCGCGCTTTCCTCTCCTGGTCCAGCTCGTTGCACAGCGTGTCTGGGATGGGGGAGCGTCACAGMGGGCCGGGGGCCCGACCGCGGCCGCCCCTCGGGGATGCGCCCGGCCCGAGGGCACCGCAGCGCGGGGGGAGCAAAGCGGGAGGGGAGCGAGGGATGCGCAGTCGGGCGCGGCTGCCCAGGTGAGTGATTGCACGGCTCGGTTTTAAACGAAGCCCGTGCGGAAATTGAGGCAAGAGGGAAGGTTCGTTCGCCGCCATGGAATGAACGCAGCCGTGTGCAGGGCAGCTCCAAAACCCGAGAGGAATTGGAGGGCACAAGAAAATACGGAATGAAAACCAAACAAACAAACAAAAAAAAACCCCACAACA